TGAGGCCATTGACATGCCAGGGAGCAATTTTATCTTAATGCTAAAGTTGACTTAGCTTATGCGTAAGGGGAAAAAAAAAGAAAGGCGGGTGACAGCGTAAAGAGTAAATCAACCCAAAGAGTGTAAAACGCATGAGGATACCCCCGAACATACTGGGACATACAGCAGACCACCCATCCTGTAGCATTCTCAAGCTATGACCTTTCTGCATCCCAGCTAACTGCCAGATTATGGATTTCCTACCCGCACCAGGTCAGCCAGCATAGACCTGGGCCTCTGAGGATCTGTGTCTTGTGTCACAGAATACACAAAGCTCCCACCACCATCCCTGACAGGACGGGAACTAACCACTTGCATTTATTCACCTATTCATTTGGCTGGTTGGTTGCTTGGTTCGGTTCTTCAAGACTGGATTTCTCTACGTAGCCCTGGCTGTCCTGGAACTTACCACAGACCAGGCTGACCTTGAATGCAGAGATCCGCCTGTCTCTGCCTCCTGAGTGCTGGCATTAAAGGCATGTGCCATTACCGCCCCGCAAGAATTGATTATGGATTGATTTTAATTTGTTAGTAGTTTTACAGTATTTACAATAAAGTGAAAAAGAGAGAGCCAGGCACATGGAACATGCCTGTATCACCAGGCATGTAGAGGACTGAGGAAGGAAGATTGCTTAAGGCCAGGAGGTTGAAGCCAGCCTGGGAAGAACAGCAAGATCCCCGTCCAAAAAAAAAAAAAAAAGCAGACACAAGAATTCAGGCTGGGGGCTGGGGATACGGATCAGTGGTAGGATGTTTGCCTGCTGTACACAGGCTCTGGACGAAGAATATAAACATAGTAATCTATGGGACCGAGGGTGCCTTTTTTTTTTTTTTTTTTTTAGTTCTTTTACTCTACCACACCACCATTTTGATTTTTACAAATTAACCTTTTAAACTTAAAGACCCAAAGCAATCTGCAGAAAGCAAAGATACCACCTCACACTAGCCTGGCTTTTTCAGTTCTATCCCCTGTGGCCCCTCAAAGCACAGTGCCACAGGATTTGACAGCACCTCTGCACCAGGCTCTGCTGAGGGCAGTGCTCTCCACAGCAGGGACCAGGCACTTCCTTTCCACCCTATGCCACCACAGAGAAGATGATCGTTCACGATAAGGACTCTGAAAAATGTGTCACCCGTGAGCCTGATTTTGAATTCGAGTAATGAACTAGAAATGATTTCCTTCAGAACCAACCTTGTATCACACAGGAACAAGGTGAGAATGGCTTTGATGCTAGACTCAATCAATCCTCTTCTCCCAAGGAGACAAAGGAAGAGGAGGGGAGCCTTTAAGCAGGCAGAAGCAGGAAGATCTCTGAGTTCAAGACTAGCCTGGTCAGCAGAGTGAGTTCCACGACAAGAGCTACACAGAGAAACTCTGTCTAAAATAATCAAGGAAAAAAAAAAAAAAAAAAAAAAAAAGAAAGAAAGAAAGAAAAGAAAAAGAAAAAGAAAGCTGAAGGGAAAAGGCTTCCCATCTTGGAGACGAGGTCTCTGCAGCTCCCTGATTGGTCAATAGGAATCCTCTCCCCACCTGGAGGACAGGAGCCTTCTAAGACTTCACCACCTAGGGAAGCCCTAAGAAGCTCCCTACCACACCACAGAGGCTGTGGAGAGAAGCCCTGCTCTTCAGAGGGCAGGGGTGGGAACGGCAGCTTTCCCCATCCACAGCCAACTGCTTTTCTGGTGCCCAACTGGCAATGGCTGGGCCCCAGTCATTTAACCATGATGGAACTTCTTTCTCATACTGTCTCTGTGATCAGGCCAAAGAACCAGGAAGTGGACAGAGGTCATGGCCCTTGATTTGAGGGGTTCTTAGTTTAATTAAAAAAAAAAAAAAAAGGCCTATGTAAGTTCTCTGGGAGGAGCCATGTTCCATGGTGCATGCCTATAATCCCAGCACTCTGGGAGGCAGAGGCAGGTGGATCTCTGTGAGTTTGAGGCTAGCCTGGTCTACAAAGTAAGTACAAGGATAGCCAAGGCTACACAGAGAAACCTTGTCTTAAAAAACAAACAAACAAACAAACAAGGTCTCTGGGAGGTGCCAAGGACTGCAGGACAGGCAGGTTGGTGACAGGGCACTGTGAACAGGGCATACCTTCCTGAGTCAGAGACTAAGGAAAAGGTATTCAACCACAGCCTGGCACTGTGCCTTCTAGTCCCTTCCACCCTCTGGACTACAGTAATCTCATGCACGGGAACCTTAGTTAGAATGGCATGATACATGCTAAGGCCAAGGTGGCAGCACAGGGATGGGGACACATTCTGACAAACACATCATTGGGTGATTTTGCCACTGTAGGAGGTACAGCATGCACTTACACAATCCTAGATGGCTTCCTTCACCTGGGCTCCACAGGCCATCTATGTATAATACACACACACACACACACACACACACACACACACACACATCCACACGCACGCATGGTATAACCTACTGTTTCCAGGGCCGTGTTGAGCAGAATAGCCCAAAAGTAAGGACTGGAAAGGTGACTCCGTTGGTAAGGGCTTGCCTCCCCAGAAAGAGCCTGAGGTCAGATCCCAACATCAACACCATTCTGAAAAAGCCAGCTGGGACAGTACAGAGCCTGTGACCCCCAAATCTGGGGAGGCGGACGCAGGAAGATCCCTGGGGCTTGCTGGTCAGGGAGCTCAGTTCAATCAGTGAGCTGCAGGCTTAGCAGAGACCCTGTCTCCAAAAGCACGGTGGAGGGTGATCCAGGAAGAAAGCCAGTGTCAACCTCTACGCACCACACACATGTGCACAGATAGCTGCACACTGGTGGTCGCACACACAATTACCCCCTCCAAAATAAACAAAACAAAAACTTTCCAGGTGGTGGTGGTGCACGCCTTTAATCCCAACATTCTGGAGGCAGAGGCAGGCGGATCTCTGAGTTTGAGGCCAGCCTGGTCTAGAGAGTGAGTTCCAGGCCAGCCAGGACGACGGGACCACATGGAGAAACCCTGTCTCAAAACAAAACAAACAAAACCCTTAAACATAAAATGAAATGATACTCAAGAGTCAGGGCAAAGTAGAGACAGAGAGAGAAAGTCCTGCCAGCCTAGGCAGACGCTTCACTTTAAAACGCTCCAGTGTGCTCTGAAATAACGACAGAGAGCATCACGTAGCCGTGCACAACCGTGACAGTCAGGCACTTGGCCTCACCAGGCATCCCGCGCTGTAAGTCACCCTTATATTTCACCATCCATGCCACATTTCTCTACAGTGAGGCGCAGGTTTGCCTGTGTCAGCATCACCGCAAACACGTGAAGAATGTGTTGCATGCAAGGCACAGCACGGCGCAACAGGAGCACTTCAGCTCCTTTACAGTCTCCTGGGACCATCTTTGTCTGTGCAATCCGTCACCGACCCTGACAAACTGTCCAGGACACCAGCTGTCACATGACCCTCTTGGTCTCCCATTCTCTTGTCTTGCCATGGAGCAGGCTCCCAGCTTTGGGAGCTAGGGTCACGCTTCAAAGGGGTCTATATGCTTTGGAGAAGCCGGAAGCAACAGAATAGTGAGGGACTGGAGAGCTCCCTTCCTTGGAACGGAGAAGTTTTGCCCAGCCAACAGAAGTGACAAAGGAGACGCTAACCCCCTGGAAAGCAAAGCTCTGCATTGAAGTTTAAATAAAAAAGAACAGTAGAAAGCCAGAGCAGGACAGCTGGGGACGAAGGGCTAACTAGAGACAGATGAGGTCCTGCCAGCCTATGAGGACACTTTACGACGCTGGAGTATGATCTGAAGTAATGGTAGGGAGCAGCACATAGCAGGTACACAAGAAGGTGACGCAAAGTCCTTAACAACAACAACAACAAAAAGCATTATGGATAGCCCTGGCTGTTCCGGACTTGCTTTGTAGACCAGGATGGCCTACCAAGAGTTTGTGGGCCTGCCTCTGCCTCCCTGAGTGCTGGGATTAAGGCATGCGCCACCACGCCCCGGGGAAGTCTTAGTTTCTAACAAGTTTCCCAATACCTCTCTTAGGGAGCACACTTCTGGGGGGAGGCTCTAGCAAATCAATCAACTTCAAGTCAAGGTGAGCAAGCCCCGACCTGGGGAGCTGGAATAGCCCTTTCTGGGTCCAACATCCTGGAAGGATCAGCGAGGTCTCCAACTACAGAAGGCCCAAGGACAGTGGAATATGGCTTAGGAGGGCAGCTAACGGCAGCTGAACTATAGGAGTCTCCCAATAGAAGTAAGGGATGCCAGGTTGCAGCGCCCAAGCCTACCGTCCAAGCTACTCCAGAGACTGAGGCAAGCGGATCTCAAGTTGGGAGACCAGCCTGAGCAAAAGGACTCCGTAAGGGGGTAAGTGGGAGGGGCGAAGACTTTTTCGTGGAGGAAATGAGAAAGGGTGGAGTCAAGATGTATGCGTTCGGTACCTTGAACAACAACCCAGACACTCAGAACTGGCTCAGAGGACCAAACCCAGGAGCTGTCCGCCTGCACACGTGTCTATGCGGAATCGTCTCCACCCCACCCACTCCTCCGCACAGCCTCTGCCCTGTCTTCCTCCAGGGGAGAGGTAACTGCAGACAGGGAGCCTGTGGTGACTCAGGCGTCCAGAAGCCAAATCTGTGCCCTGCAGCTGCAGTCACAGGACCCTGTGCTGGCCTTCCGTTGAGCCCTCTAGTCTCACGCTTGTCCTCGCTCACTCCGGGGCTCCTCTGCCCTCCCTGCTGTAGGTCCATCTTCAGAAGTTGTCCCTAACTTCCGATCCTCCCAGGCACAGCCCCGAACCTAAATATTCCAACATTTGCAGCCCCACTTTAAAAAGATGTGCCCCCATCACCGTGCCCGGGGATGCCTCGGGTAGCCCTCTGGGACGCTGAGGTCCTACAAACGCCCCTTTGTGTCCCGTGCCGGGCACACAGGAAGTGCTCAGAAGCGGCTACGCGGGGGGTCAGGGGCAGGCAGGACCCGAGAGGCGCAGCAATCCGAACCCCTTACCTTGTAGACTTTGCCGAAGGCGCCGTCCCCTAGCTCGCCCACGATCTCCCACACGTCGTTGGGGTCCAGGTCCCGGCGGACGTGCTCATATTCCCGGGATTTTCTCTTTTCAAAGGTGGATAAGCGCAAGATGCGGCGGAAATTGGCGAAAGCCATGCTAGGTCCGGAGCGCGGCGGGAGGACTCACGGCTTCGCAGAGCCGCCCTCCCCGCAGCGCAGCGCCGGCCGAGTGCGCTCACGGCTGCCGGGAGCTGCCGGAACCGCGACCCGCCCGCTCCGCCCCGCCCCGTCCCGCCCCGCACCCTCCTGGACCCGCCCGCAGGACGCCCGACACCCGCGCGCGCTCCCGGCCGGCCCGGCTCCACCTGCTCCGAGGCGCCCCGAGACCCCTCAATTGGCTGCGGGAGCTCGCGGCTCCGCCCGCGCCGCGGGGCACTCTGGAGACTGTAGTCCGCCGGGTGGCTGGCCCGTGGGCCCGCCGCGCCTCCCGGAACCCTGAACCACCGGGGTTACCACCGGGGTTCGGCTGGCGCCTTGCAATCGTCGTCGGTGCCAAACTGGTGCATCAGCGCGCACGATGCGCCCGCAGCGGGACTGGCTCGCCAGCTGACCGTGCGGGACGCCCGCGCCCCTCGCCCCGGGGCTCATGCCGGTTCTCGGGGCTCCTCGTCCCGAAGTTCACGGGGTCCCAAGGGGGCCTTCGCCACGCTTCCTGCGCGGGTCTTGGGCGCCGTGCTGCCTGCCTCCCAGCGCGCAGGAGGCAGAGCCCCGCCGCTGCGCGCGCCCCAATCCGGGCTTTACCCGGGGCTGCCAGCCACAAACGGCCAGGACTCGGGACAAGAAACAGTCCCTTTAGGACCTATTTGGCTTCTTGGTAGGTTAGCAGATACATCCCTTACTAAGTAAAACTTTCTAATTCTTTTTTTTTGGGGGGGCGGGGGGAAGCCCCGTTATAGATAAAACCGGAGTTGTCTCGGGGACCGTCCTCCTCCATCCTGGCGGAGGGACCGTCCTCGCTCGACCTTAGCAGCGGGCGTCCTGCAGATGGCTCGGCGCCTTTCCCTGGTGTCAGAAGGTGGGTTCTGGTGTACAGTTCTCCGGGCTGGGCGGCTGCAGGGCCTGTCAGAGTGACTCCCCTCCTGAACGAGTGAGTTTCCCACTCGGGCACCCTTAGTTCGAGAGAGCGTTTAAGTTGCTGTTCTCTTTCCTGCGCAGCCGCGCAAGCGCTAAGTGCGTTTCCCTCTCGGAAGACCCTCTGGAGTGTGGATGCGATACCCCGGGGAGGGGATGCGTCAAAGGACGCCCCGAAGAAAGGTTGCCCCAGTTCCGAATGTTCCCGCCACTGAGTGAGTGCGGAGAAATTTTATAATGAAAAGAAGGAAATGTCATGCAAAACTGCTCTCGTTGAGTCAGCGTGTGGAAGAGCCAAAGTTTTAAGTCCGTGGTTCGGTGGACCTGCTGAAGTCTGTGCAGCTCTACCGGGTGGACCGAGGGTCAGAATGCGCTCCCCAGACCCGGGAGCTCCAGAAAACAAAGTTAGAATAAAAATAGAAAGGTTCGTTAAGAAATGTCACGCACGCTACGTGAAGGAAGCCAGACCCAAAGACCGCATGACGGCGTTTGTGGCGTTGATAGGACCGGTCCAGAAAAGGCAAAGCTGTCGAGAGCCGGTTAAGGGTTGGCTCCTGCTTCCAGACGTGGGAACTGACTGGAGAGATGAGGAATCTCACCGGGCTGATGTAGACGCCCGCAAGAACTACAGGGACAGTCCTATAACTCCGGAAACTTGCCCCAAACCACGAGTGACTTTTGTTTTTGTAAGGTGTTTTTTTTTTTTTTGGGGGGGGGGGGGTGTGGGGACAGAGGCAGGAGGATCGCTGTAAGTTCGAGGCTAGTGTGGTCTACAAAGTAAGTCCAGGGCAGCCAAGGCTGCACAGAGAAAACCTGTCTCAAATAATAGTAATAATAATAATAATGAAGACTGACACACAGACAGGACAGATAAATAAATGGAGGCTCAACAGAACCAAAGCTACTTTGAAACTTATGCTTCCCTTCATCTATCCCTGGCTACAGGGCCTCATACTGACCTAGTGATAAATGAAGACGGCTGGAGAGGGCCCTTCCCCCGCCCTATTTTCTGGAACAACTTGAAATAGAAATTAGTGCGTTTGATGTGTATATTTCAATCAGTGAGTCCAAGTTTGCATAGTTTCATTAGAAGCCTTTCAGTTTGTTTAGATTTGCTGGTCCTTGGCTGTAGTGGAGAGTTTTGGTTCCTTTAAAACCCAGTTACATTCCGTGAACATGTTTTTGTTTCAATCCCAGGTGTGGGATAAGCAGCTGCTTCACAGCGGGCGTTTATGGTTTGCAGGAGCAGGGGCGAGAGCTTTACCAGCTGCAGGTAGTTTAATTCTGGGGACTCCGGAAAGGGTATAAATGGGAGCGCGCCCAGCATTCCACTGGTGGCTGCGGGTTTGTCCTGCTGCATTTGCTGTTGTAGGATTGCCAGGCTGGTAGTTTGCTGGCCATTCTGATGGTGAAGATTGGGCTCGCCTCAAGGAATTCTTCGTCCCTAATCAGCAGGTAGTAGCCTCCAGAGGTCTGCACCGCCTTTTCCCTCTAACCTTTCTCTCCTACCTGGTGTGGAGTTGGAAGGGATTAGGATGAAATAAGGATTGGAAAGGAGGTGGAGCTATGAGAACCCAGTAAAAGGCCAGGTGTGGTGGCACACGCCTTTAATCCCAGCCCTGGGAAGGCAGAGGCAGGCGCATCTTCATTAGTTTGGGGCCAGCCTAGTCAACAAAGTAAGTCCAAGATAGCCAGGGCTATTATACAGAGAAACCCTGTCTGGGAAAAACAAATTGAAAAGAACCCAATAAAATAGATTTTAAAAATCCACCAACACATATCCTTTGCCATTTTTGTGTTGTTGGGCTGGGGGGTGTTTTGCTTTGTTTGAGTCAGGGTCTCTGTTCAGGATGTCGTTCACACGTGTGCGTTTTCCACTGCATGCTTTCATAGGTGGAGGTCAGAGGACAGCCTTCAGGAGTTGGTTCTTTCCTCCCACTGTGGGTCCTGCAGGTTAACTCGGGTCCTCAGGCCTCTAGGACCTACTGGGCCATCTCACTAGACCTGAAGTGTTTGAAATACTATCTTTTTGGATTTAGGTATTGAAAATGTTTTCTCTCAACCTCTCGTCCAAATGTTAACTTTGCTCATGGAGTCTTCTGTTGAACAAGTATGTGTAATATTGATATGATCCGATCTGCTCTTATCTTCGTGTGAGGGTGCTGTTTTCCTGCCGCTGAAGATTGAACCCAGGAACTTGTACATACGAAACATGCTCATATCCCAGCTGAGCCAAATTTTTTAACTTAAAAAAATTCAACTTGCCACGGGTATTGGCACCTGCCTTTAATCCCAGCAGGTGGGCCTTGAGGCAGCCTTGTTGTCTACAGAGTTGAGTTCCAGGAAAGTCAGGGCTACACAGAGAAACCCTATCTGGAAAAATAAAAACAGAAAAACCAACTTAAGGTGCTGAAGAGACGGTTCCTCCGTGGTTAAGAGGAAGATTCAGTTCCTAGCACCCACGTGACAGTGCCTGGTCCTCTGTTAACTCCAGTTCCATATACTGACGCCCTCTTCTGACCTTCCCAGGCACTGCATACAGATGGTGCGTACACAGACAGTCAGTCAAAACACCCATACATATTTATAGAAAAAAAAGTCAATTTAGCCAGGCATGGTGGCACACACCTTTAATCGGAGCATTCGGGAGGCAAAGGCAAGTGGCTCTTTGAGTTCAAGGACAGCCTGGCCTATATATATAAAATTCCACACGGTCCAGAGTTATGTGGTGAAACCCATGTCTCTGAAAAGATCACGTTCATTGAGGTTTAGCTTACATTAAATAGAAATGCTCCCCGTTAGGGTTCAGTTTTACCAAGGCTTAGGCTGTCTCCACAGTCAGGGTAGAAATGTCTCCAATGCCCCTTTCAGGCAATTCCCATTCCCACTCCTTTCAAACTTTTCTTTCCAATGCTGGGGGTTAAACTCAGACCCTTGCGAAATGCGAGTGCTCAGTCATGAACCACACAGTGGCCTGTGTTTAGCTTTTTTATTTTTTAAGATTTATTCATTTATATATACAGCGTTCTGCCTACACACCAGAAGAGGGCACCAGATCTCACTATAAATGGTTGTGAGCCACCATGTGGTTGCTGAAAATTGAACTCAGGACCTCTGGAAGAGCAGCCAGTGCTATTGACCTCTGAGCCACCTCTCCAGGCCCCATCTTTAGCTTCTTTGAACTTGGCTTGCTTCTGAGATGCTTCGTGTTGCATGTATTCATGGCTCGTTCATCTTCGATGTGAGGTAGTAGTCTACTGTATGGATACACCATAGTCATTAGTACATCGTCCAGCAGTGTTGAGAGACAGTTGGCACTGGGGGTGTACCCATTTGGTTATTGTGAATAAGGCTGACTGCAAACATGTGTGAGTCCTTTCATGGAAATGATGGTGTTCAGGACATATGATGGAAAGTAAGCCAGACAGTGGTGGCACAGGACTCTAATCCCAGCACTCAGGAGGCAGGGACATGTGAGTCTAGCTCTGCGTTCAAGATCAGCCTGGTCTACAGAGTAAGTTCCAGAATAGCCAGGGCTACACAGAAAAACCCTGTCTTGAAAACAAACAAACCCACTAAAGAAAATGCAGTAAACAAACATGCTATTCTCTTATTAATCTGTCTTTCATTTTACCAATTGTGTGGGAGTTCTGCTGTATCAAATGATTCTCTGTAGACTCTGCCAGGGTGTCCTACAAGACAGCTTAATTCTGACACTGGCAGTTAGACCCTGAGGATCTGTCTCACAAGACTGTTCCACCCCTGGCACACACCGGTCATGAGTCCCGGGTGTCACCTGGGTTTCTGACCAACCAGTCATAACATCAGAGGTTCTTACGATTTACAGAGTTGGCTAGAACTGTGATTGGACCCCATCTGTGCACATATCTGTTTGCATACAGACAGACAACCAAATATGAAAGGAGTGTTGTGAGCGGGAGAAGGAGGCCCCGTGCACTTGTGTATGGCACAACACTTGAGTATATACACATTTCGCACCAGAGCCAATGAAATTTAAAAACACAAATTGTAAGAAAAACAATTTTTGAAAAGTGAAATGCAGATCTGGGGGTTTCTAATGGAGTAGTTGGCTCTTCAGATGTCTGTCTCCTGGTTGGCTGGTTGGTTGGTTGGTTGGTTGGTTGGTTGGTTGGTTGGTTGGTTGGTTGATGTTTTGTTTGTTTTTTTTTTCCAAGGACGGGATTTCTCTGTGTAACAGCCCTGGCTGTCCTGGAACTCGATTGAGTTTGCTGGCCTCAAACTCACAGCGATCTGTCTGCTCTGCCTCCTCAGTGCTGGGACTAAAGGCGTGTGCCGCCACCACACACAGCTTTGCTCTTCAAACTTCTAAGAAACACTTAGGGAAACAAATGCTGACTTGCTATTTAGGGTGGTAGAGATAACTGTCCACAGGTGTGATAACATTGATGACCCCTGCTTTTTAGAATATATACTCAAATATTTGCACAATAAGCTGTTTGGCTTGAGACTTGGTTCCAAATAACCCAGGAACCCTGATGAGTGGAAAGAATATAGATGAGCAGGGCCTGGTCTGAACCGCTTACCGAGTGAGGAAGGCAGGAAGCTTGAGCCTACTAATCTGATCACCTCTGCACAGGCCTGGAACAATCCACTACGAGAAAAAAAAAAAAAAACAGAAGGAAAACAGTGCTGATTGTGTCAGTCAGGCATCCTGCTTTGACTTCTGCCTCACTACACTTTGACCTTTTAAAAATTCCTTCTTGAGCTGGGTGTGGTGGCCCACACCTTTAAATCCCAGCATTCAGGAGGCAGAGGCTCATTAATCTTTGAATTGAAGGCCAGCCTGGTCTACAAAGTGAGTTCTAGGACAGCCAGAGCTACACAGACAAACCCTGTATCAAAAAAAAAAAAAAAAAAAAAAAAAATTCCTTAGGTCGGTATGAGTAGCGAACATCTTTAACTCCAAGATTTAGACAGAGAAAGAGGCCGGTGGATCTTTGAGTTCAAGGTCAGCCTGGTCTACATAGATCCATGTGGGTCAAAACAGGGTTTCTCTGTGTGTAGACTTGGCTGGACTAGCTTTGTAGACCAGGCTGGCCTCTGACTTTGTGCTGGGATTATAAATGTGTGTCACCACACCCGGCTTATATAAATTAAACATTTACATAGGCCTACATTCCTTCTCTTTGGCTTTATATTTAGTATACTTGTTCTAGGATCTCTCCATATGTGTGTGTGTGTGTTTCCATTTTTCTTCCTAATGAGCACATACTATCTCAGATGGCTCCCAGAGCTGCTTTGGCACTTGGCTCAGGAGACCCCTTCTAAGCAGCCTGTCCGTGAGAAGGGACACACCCACAGTGAAGCTGGAGAACTGTGAGAAGCCGCTTCATCATTCTTATTGTCCTCCAGTTCTGCCCGGTTCTGTCGGGAACCCTGTCGAACATTCTGGTTCTGAGACGGAATTCCCCATTCCCGGTCAGGTCGCCAGAGCCTCTGGCTGAAAGCTGTGGACATGATCCTGAGGGAAGGGTCTTTTCTGTGGTACCTTTACCTGGACAAAATCTACTGCTTACTGTCTTTGAGAAATGTGAAGGCCTTGATGGAGTATTTTCACCTTCTGGACGCACATCACAGGAACACCTTGAATGGTCAGTCATTCGTGTAGGGTTGTACCCAACCCCGGCACCCAAAACTATCTCCCTAACTTTTACTTCATCTTGTTGAGGAAGCCAGGACACTGCCAATAGAGCCGAGACTGAGGGCAGTTTGGTGCAGAGGATGAAACTACAGGCTCTGGGGTCAGGCTGGGCTCTACCCACAATTCCTTGGGGATTCAATGAGCATGTTATACCCTCTAATGTCTCCCCACCCCCATGTGTCATCTGTCTTGTTCCCACCCACTCCACCACCTTCCTCCATGCAGGGCCCTTTCCCACTTTCATGTCATTTTGTTTTGTTTGTTTTGTTTTGGGACCCACTGATTTTAACCAGGTTTTGTCTGTGTCTAATGGTATCTGTGAGTTACCAAAAATATTGCCCCTCTGCTGTGATGTGAGTCCATACATTAACGGCAGGCCAGGTGAAACACCCTGGGTTATTTTCAAACCTCAGTTTAAATATGATTTCGAACAGTCTACCTGTCACTCTCCCCTCACAGTCAGGAAAAAGCAAAGAGTACTCAAATTTGACTTTTTTTTTTTGCTACGGGTCTCACTATATAGCCTTATCTAGCTTGGAACACACAGAGGTTCATCTGCCTCTGCCTCCTGAATGCTGAGGTTGAAGGTGTGCACAACCACACCACACACACCTTCCAGCCTTAAAAAACAAACCGTAACAAGGCAGGGGCTGTAGCTCAGTAGCAGACACACTTAGCATAGGTGCAGGCTCCAGCACTGAGAAGAATGAAACAAAAACAGTGTCATGCCTTGCTTTCCTGTGTGCATGCAGATTGGCATGATGTGATACCACTCTCCTCTGGCCCAGATAAGACAGCTTCAGGCACCAAGCTGCCTCCCTAGTAACCAAATAATTCCCCAACGACACAGTGGCCAGGAGGTCCAAACCTGCTCTCTGATTACCAAGGGTAGAGACGGTGATTTGGAAGAGAGACAGCACAGCTTTTTATGATTTGCTTCCTGGGAGAACAACTTCAGGACTTGGGGGACTTGGGGGACCAGAGTCATCTTGCTGCCAAACGGCACGGATTCCATAGCTACAGGGTCCCACAGGACGCATCTCCAAGGCAGACACAACTGCCATCCCTAGGTGTATACAGTACGACGCTGAGTGGTCACACCTCGTGGGGCACACAGGAAGAACTGCCAAGAGGCCATCAGGCCAAAGCTGACATGTGACCATAAGCTCAATGTGCTCCTGCTTGCTTCCAGCTGGGATTCCAGATGACACAGATGAAGTGTTTGATGTGCTCAGCGGAGCCCAGAGATAGTTTCTGGTTGGCTGCATGTATGTTGCATACCAATTTTGCACCTTGTACTCATGAAGGGCAGAAAGGACCTGGAGCTGGAGTTATAAACAATTGTGAGCCACTATGTGAGTGCTGGGAATTGAACTTGGATCCTCTGAAAGAGCAGCCAGTGCGCTTAACTGCTGAGTCATCTCTCCAGCCTGTTTGGTGGTGGGTTTTGTTTTTGAGACAGGGTTTGACTCTGGAGGCCAAGCTGGGTTTGCACTGATGGCAGTCCTGCTTCAGCCTCTTGAGAGCCGAGATTATTGGCACAAGCTGCCAGGCTCAGGTCTAGAGATAACTTTGGTAATCAAGAGGCAAAGGGGAAGCTGGACAGGATGGCTGCAAGTTTAAAGCGCTTAACTTGGTTTTCTACGTAGTGAGCTCCAGGCCATCCATCAGTGAGACAATGATGATCAACAACAAAACAAACCAAAAACAATAGAGGGGAAACCACATATAAAGCCACACTAGAAAATCCCATAGCCAGCAGGTGCGGTACACATCTTTAGTCCCAGCGGAGGCAGGTGGATCTCTGAGTTCCAGGCCAGCCTGGCTCTAAAAAGTGAATTCCAGGACTATACAGAAAAACCTTGTCTCAAAAAACAAAAGGAAGGAAAGAAGGAAGGAAGGAAAAGTCTTTTCAGGATTTGTACATACCAAATTTGATCATATCATAATCCCACCCACACTTCAGCTGCAGTGATTGCTGCTCCCATCTTTTATTTTTTTTTAAACAACTGAAGGCTAATTTTTTAAAAAAACTTTACAAGCATGACTATTATAGTAAAATTACTTTTCTTAAAAGCCAATTATTAAATAATAAAATCTCTTAAAGTCTATTATTGGATTTTAAACACTTTTTACTTATGAGCAGAATGGTTTGCAAATATGACTAGATCTGGCTTGTTTGTTTGATTTTTGGAGACAGGGTTTCTCTGTATAGCCCTGGCTGTCCTGGAACCTGTTCTGAAGACCAGGCTGGCCTCGAACTCAGAGATTCTCCTGCTGCTGCCTCTAAAGGTACTGGGACTAAAGGTACCACCACTACCCAGCTCAAATGGTTTTCATTTAAAATTTCAGTCTTGCTTCTGAAACAATCAAAATAACAGAAATGCAACCAGAGACAAATTATAATAAACAAACAAATGTGGCTGCAGATGTGTGCTCGTTTATGTCTGCCATTCATAGTACCAACAGACTATTTTTGAACTGGAAAAAGGAAAAGGGTTCATCTGACTTAGACTCTAGGTCACAATCCATCACTGTGCTGCCCCCATCTTATTCTGGCGGTAAGGCTGGTGAGTGGGATGGCAAGAACCTGACTGAATGTGTCAACTCCTGCACTTGGCTTCACTGTAACGATTACACAGCCTCCCTCAGGTTGATTCATGTCAGAGCCCCAACTCTGTTACTGAGACCCACAATGCAGCAGCAGCCACAGCAGAGCTGGGAGCACCGTGGACTCTCTCCCATGACGCACTTCCTGAAGGGGGAACTGTAGCTTGACAAGACCCTGCCATGGGGTAGGACCACCTTCCTTGTCAGGTTCTCAGGTTTGCTGGGATGTGACATTCAAAAGTGCTTAACACATCGGGAAGGCCCCATCCCTCTACAGCCAAAAGCCTTTGCTAGGAGTAAACATGAACAGTCTCCGCATATGAGAGCAGTGACTTTTCCATTTCCCGTCTGATTAAGGAATCATGAGAAAGGCCAAAGAAAACAGTATTTTTCAAAAATAATTTATGTGTCTGTATGTGTGTGATATGTGTAGGCACATGTGTGCACTAGAAAACCAGAGGACAACTTTAGGGAGTCCATTCTCTCCTACTTCACATGGGTTCTAGGGATCAAACCCAGGTCCCCAGGCTTGCCTGATAAGTGTCTTTACTGGCAGAGCCACTTCTCCAACCCAGATGTGAACAACTTTAACAAAGAATCTGACAAAGACCACTCGTCAAAGGCCACTCATCAGCAGCTTGCCTGTCATTGGTGACAGGTGCCAAGCACTGACCGCCACCATGCTTGTTGGGCATGTAAGCCAACGGGTCAGCCACCTTCCATAACTCAGCACACTACTTTTCCATAGCAAGAGCAACTAAAGGCTTGAGTTGTGGAAGGTTCAGCATGAAGCCAGAAACAAAATATTGTCATTGTCATTGTCCCAGGACAGTGAGCTTCTAAGACCACTGCATTCTTAGGTGGCTCCTAATGCTGAGACTGTTGTAAAACCATCTCGTCCCCCTCTCCTCCCCCAGATGTGCTGTTCTTTCATTTCCTCCACCACGTGACTAACCTGAAAGTCACACAGATCAAGATAGTATTTGATATGCTGGACTGGACGGCTATAGGAGAGATTGGTTTTGACCAGTTCTATATGTTGGTCTGCATACTGCTGTCACATCAGGTACCAGGGCTGCCCTGGGGCAGGTGAGAGAGGGTTGGGCTGCTCACCTCCGGATAAAGCTGACAGTAAATAAAGGTGAACACAGTGGAAGGCTTCAGCACTACAAATGGGTGGAAGGAAAATGAAGTGGGAAATTCACTTTTGGTTCCTTAATAGACCATCAACTTGGACATTCTAGTACCTTCCAGGCTTCTCTCTGCAGCTGGCACCTGCCTTCAGCCCTCCCACCTCCTTGTAAGGAAACTACTGTCCCTGCCCACTTTTCTTGGCCTGCCTGGCCTCCAGTGAGCTTCAAAGCACCACCAACCATCCCAAATACCCTACCTCACTCTTGCCCCGATCCTTTGCCTCAGAGAATTTTCTGCTCAGGCAGAAAGAAAGGGAATGGGGCTGTTCTCTGTGTGCCTTAGCTTGTGCTCCTTGAGCAAAGGGATCTTGTGCCACTAGGATTGTTAATTAAGTAAAACTGATCGCTACAAAAGTTTCCCTTGAAAGCAGGGGCTCACGTGGGCCTTGTCCCTCTTCACAGCCCTTTCCCCAAGTTTGAGAGTTTACCTTTTGCTCTGAGCTCTCTAGGAGCTGTCTGGTGGCTATATGAATCTTCGGTGTGACACCCTTCCATAGTACCGATATTCTCGTACATTTCTTTCAAAATAGAACCGTCTGCAAGATCAGTTTATGTATCGCCACTCCAGGGCAGTCTTTGACCTGCTTGATCTGAATGGGGAGTTGAAACTAGACGCATCCCACTTCCAAATGTACAGATTTCTCTTCAATATCAAGAAACAGGAACTCCGAGACCTCTTCCATGACTTTGACATCACAGGCGACCAAGTAAGTGCAGATCTGTGGATTGTGGGGCAGAGGGCCACGGCCTCGACCAACGGTGGAGACGGTGAGGAAGCTGGCAACAGTCGGGACTAGGAGGAAAACGGAGATCAACAGGCTCTGGCAGAGAAAGGACTGGCTAAGTGATCTATACATCATGTGATATAGATCCGCAATGACAGGTTTTGAGGAGGTAGACTAATATGGCGATGAGACGGCGGTCAGGGAGCCATTTATAGACTGCGATAAGCAGAAATTCTATGATAGAACCGAGCGAGGATGGTGACTTCTGCCTATGTAAAGGGTGACCACAGTGGGAGATGACACGGACACCTGACAAAATGACCCTGTTCCCATGGTCTGCCACAGACTTGACTGCTCCTGGGAACTAGGCCCCAGTCAGCCTGTAACTGTAACTCCTACATCTCTAAGTTTCCAAGAGTCCAGAGTAACACACGAGTAACACCTTACTAAGCCTTCTTGTAATATTTTTTTCTTCCTCCGCCCCCCAATGAAAGATGCTTGATTACAAGGAATTTAAACTGTACACAATCTTCTGCACGGAGAAATCCATAGACAAGAAGAAGAGAAGAGAAAGACAGGAAGAGAGACAGAAAGAAAAAGACAAAGGGAAAGACAAAGAGAAGATTCATCATTTAAGGAAGTTGTATTCGTCTGTGTTCAGCAATAAGAGTCTCCTATGATACAGAAGTGAGCATGACTGATTAAAATTAACATGGCCACAATGAGGTAAAGCACCAAAGTTCTTTTTTTTTTAATGTATGTATTATGTATGTATCCATTGAGACATGGTCTCACAGTGTTGCCCTGGCTGGCCTGGAACTGGCTATGTAGACCAGGCTGTCCTCAAACTTACTAAATAGTTGAAGATGACCTTGGGCTTTTCACCCTCCTGCCTCCATTTCCTAAGTGCTGGGAGTGACTTTTCTTACTCTATGGCCCCAATGCTCTAGGGCTCCTTTCTAGGCTAAGCCCACCTGGGTGCCAGAAACTCAAGATGGCCAATGGTGAAAGGCAAGTTGATGGCATGGAAGCTGTGTTTTGTTTTATTTTTCTCTCAATCTATGTTTCTTTGAGACTCACTATGTTACCCAGGCTGATCTCCAACTTGTAAGGTGAAATGATCCTCCTGCCTCATCCTTGGGTTAACTGGGACTGCAGGAGTATGTCACTGTTGCAGCTCAGTCTGTGTGTTCCTTAGAGCTTGAATTACTCCAACATGTCAAATGCTTAGGCAACAGAATAAAACTTACTAGGGTAAAATATTATGTGCCCCTGATCCATTTTAACTTTTTATGAGCCTAGCATGATGGTACACACCTTTAATCCCAGCACTTGGGAGGCAGATTTCTGTCTGAAGGCAGCCTCATCTACATAGTGAGTTCCAGGAAAGCCAGGGCTGTGTAGACCATACAGAGATCAATACTTTGACTGACTTAAAAATTCTTTTGGCATGAGATTTGTGATATCCTCACCCACATCCCAAGGGACTTTATCAAAACAGTAGCAACTGTAACAGGGCCCTAGACCTTACTCAGCACAACTGACTTGTTATGCTCTTTTGTGTTTTTTATTTGGGGTTCCTTAAAACCTCTCCGCTTCCCTAGGTGGGAGAGGTTAGTGGGGAGATGAGGTGCAGACCCCTTAACTTCTCCTGGCTGTTTAGGGTTGGTAGATTCTTTCAGGGCTCTACCAGTTCTCTGCCAACAGCAAAAGCAGCAAGCGGTCTCCTCTCTATCTCCTCCAAGCTTCTGCACCACGAAGTGTCTCTGGCCTCTCCAAACTGCCACTCACCACACACCAGCACCGTATACCACCCTTTCTTTTTCTGGGCTCTCATATTTATATCCTCAGAGCCCTAGACCACGGCCCTCTCCATGCCACAGTCAAAAAACCACGCCCCACACGAGACAATTAATAGCTATGGACAAACTAAAGCGCAAACTAAAATCCACACTTAGGATTAAAACAAAAACATCTACAAAAGAAACCAAAACTTCCATTACACTGACTCATGATGGAAGTACCGTTCAGGCTGTAAAACTCAGCATGCAGACAGCAAGCATCCCCAGCCAAACTGAAAAATCAAAGTCCTTAGTTCTGGGAAAGTCTCTAAATGTACTAAGCTTGCTTTTGGCTTCCATAGTTCTGACTATTTTTGTTAATTGGAGTATGTTGAGCCAGAACATGGTAATTGTGCTTAAAAGCTCACCCTGAGAAAGACTTGGAGCTACACTGGGATCCTGAACACCCAGTGTAACCATCAGCAAAGACTTTCTATTGGTTTAAATCTGTCTTTCCCACAATAGCAACATTATAAACATGTGCTTGGTGTAGGTGAGGCAGTGACTTACACACACAATTTAATGCTTTTAACCCTGTCAACTAGGTAGGGCTATTCTGTTTACAAAAGAGAAAACTGAGGCCCAGAGAAATTAAGAAAGTTACCCAAACAAATGTCTCACAGATGGCAGGACCAGGATTCAGACTCAAGGACAATTAAAGCTGCTTGTACTCACAGCCTGGGGTCTGAGCTCACTGGACTTTTGGCAGATTTGTGTTTTGGTTGGTTTGGGGAGGTTATGTTATTTAGACAGGATGCAACTACATAGCCCAGGCTAGCCTCCAACCTGTGATACTCCTGCCTCAGCACCTATCTGTTGGATGCTCTTTAAATTTTAAGCCAGCAAATTGGCCAGAAATCCCGTTTAACGTTCATTACAACAGCTAAGTTTTTTAGGAATATGGTAGGAGACTGAAGTAACAGATCATTTATGACATTCTAACTAACCTCAAGGAAACCAGTGAGTTTGAGGGTTCCCAAAACCATGGGATATGATAGTCCGTACCATAATCAAGCCTGGTTTTGTCACCAACATAAGAATACTGCTCACCTAAGATCCTTATCTGCAAGTCAAACCTGGTTAGTGTGAAACCTCATTAACAAATGGATCTTGCTAACAAGTTTTTGAGTATGATTAATGCAACTTCTCCCTATGAACCAACAGTGAGAAGAGAACCAGAAAATACCAAATCCCTGATAGAACTGGTCATTTCAATTCTTTCTATGACGATAAAGATACTGCTCTCGGGATTGAAAGCAAACTCGTCAGTCCTCATGCCCTTCCAACATTAAGCATCTGTAGTTATGACATGTTTGCACCAGGTAGACAGGGACACTATGCACTATGCAGGCTGGCACTCCAAAAATGGGAGGAAAAATGGCAGCCAGAGAATGGCCAGGCCAAAGAACCTCACCACTGAATTCCTTTTTACAGGGTTTGGTCTCTCTTGAGGCAGCCTAGGTGGCTTTAGGACCTAGGTGTGATTCTTGGGAAAGACACTCCAGAGGTCTCTTCTCCCAGAGATGGTCTTGAGCTGTATAAAGGATAAAGCTCCTGGAGATACAGAACTGCAGCGGGGTGGTGGTGGTAGGAGAGTCGGAGAGAGTAGGTAGGTAATTTGTCCTTTCTCCCATGGAAGTCAGGGGTCACTGTAAAGGTATAATGAACGCAACATCAGACTTATTTATAGACATTAAGTGTGTGTTACAGTACAAATGTGGAGGTCAGAGGACAATTTGTAGTTGATTCTGATCATTCCATGTGGGTTCTAGGGATCAAACCTAAGTTTGATAAGCACTTAAGACAAGTGCCTTTACCTGCCAAGCTATTGCAACAACCCATCACACTTTAAAACATTTCTTTTCAAAGCAGCTTCATGAACTGAAGGCCTTTGGTGGATCAGTGGCACATGTGTTTATTTGCAGCACCCAAGGGTTAAGGCAGGACTGGGAGGGCATCTTAGGTTGCATGGTAAGACTGTTTCAAAGCATCAAAGCACAGAACTCGTGGTGGTTCTAGAAGGGTATTGGGGTATCAGGAATTATTTATAAATGAGATTTCTGTGTAAAAACTAAAATTCAAACAAATCAGTAAAATGATACTGGACAAGGAATACAAAGAAAAAAAAACCAGTCTGAGCCTGCTTTGCTTTATGAAATTTTATTTCAGATTTATTTACTTCCTTTCACGTGCTTGAGTATTTTGCTCGCATGTATGTTTGCAGACCATGTGCATGCATGCTGTCCTAACAGGTCAGAAGAGGGCATTGAAACTGAAGTTGAGTAGAGTTGTGAGCTACCATGTTGGTGCTGGGCATTGAACCTGGGTTCTCTGCAAGAACAAGTGCTTGTAACTGCTGAGCCATCTTTCTAGGACCCCTCTTTCTCCCTAGTGACTTAAAAAGTTTTATAAATGAGTACACAGGGCCTGGTATGTGTTTCAGCAATAAGAGCATGACACATGTGGGGTCCTGGGTTCCATCCTGTGTGTGTCAATGCTTTTAGTCTGAAGTTTTCACACTGCATTGCAAGTTCCTAGTTACACGAGTGTTCACAATGGGGAAGGCAGGTGGGTACTATGGGTGGAATGCTAGCCTGGTGAAGGCTCCAGCCAGGGCCACAGGCAGAGGTAGATTCTTCCACACCACTGTCAGCTAGAAGGAACTTTTAAGGGGGCATTAGCTAAGTAAAGTGGTCATCTTTCCCTGCAATGCTTGGCTCTCACATCTCCTCCCCATGCTAGGCCTCATGCCTCAGAGTAGGCAAGACCAAGTTAACTGTGTCCAACCTTTGACAAGTCACCCAGGCTCTTGCCACAGAACTACAGATTACACTCTAACGGGCCACATCACAAGAGACCCCAACAGCAGTCACAGGACACCAGCTGTCTCCTAAAATGGCATCACTGGATTCCCTTTCTAAGTAAAATCCATCATAGACTGGACCAGCTGAGTGACGACCATTTGCTAAGAAAGCTACCTTTTCCCCACCACAGCTAAGATGGATGAAAATAAGTAACTTCAAGAAAAGGGGCCATTGTCTTGTTTCTGTTCTTTTCACACACACTCACACACACACACACACACACACACACACACACACACACACACACACTCCAGAAAACACAGAAGCAGTCAAAACTAAGCAGAGGCTGGTATCCCTTAGAGTAGGGAGCCCCTTTGCAGAAACCCAGAAGCCATAAAAGGCGAACAGATTTTGTTGTTAACTTACTCAGGTAGCCCTGGTTGGTCGGGATCTCACTATGTAGATCCAAGCTACCCACAAACTCGGTTTGCCCCTACCTCCCAAGTGCTGGGATTAGAGGAGTGTGCAGCCACACCTGGTGAGATTCAGATTTGACTATGAAAAACCTGAAAATTTTGTACACACACAACAAGGTACAATCCCCCCCACCCATTGTTTGGGTATGTGAATGCAGAGGTCAGGGTGTCAGTTACTCTCAAGGCAGGTCTTACTGAAACTGGAGCTCTCCAATTTAGCCCAACTAGCTGAGTATTGAACTCCAGGACTCCTGTATGTCCTCAGCAGCAAGCAAGCAGTACTGATTGAGCCACCCTCGCCATCCCGGTGAACCTGTTATAGACCAAGATGGAAGTGCTCCTGATGCACAGCTCTAAGCGATCTGCAGTATGTGGTGCAGCAGTTTGGTAGCCATGGCTACCACTGGCTTTAGAGAGAAAGCCTCCCATCCCCATAGGCTGTGGGAGTATGCCACTGTACGAAGGAATAAAGGCAAAGACAAAGAGAAAAGTGAAACTTTTACTTTTTTCTTTTTTTAAAAAAAGCCCCTACATACTAAAATTATACACATCAAGTATTGATCCAATCTTACATCAATCTATTGACAATTACCAGCACCATGTTTTTTCTCACCTAGGTTAATCTACTGACAATTACCAGCACCTAGGTTTTTTTTTTTTTTTTTTTTTTCTCACCACGCCTGGAGGATCGTTATTCAAAGTATATGTTCCTTTAAAATAAAAACAATAACAAAAATTCTTAGAGAGGACAAACCCTCAAGAAACAAGCAAGACCTTTTTACCAAACATAGGTTATCGGTGACACCATCAAATTTCCTTTAGAAAAATAACAGGTTTAAACATTCTTTTCCAGTTAATGCTTTGAGAGATATTGCTATTCAGTGTGACAAAGAAATCAGCCTCTGGATGTTGGGTGATGTATTGAAATACCCCAGAGCTTCCACATGGGGATGTGAGCATCCTCCTTTGTAGTTATAGCTAAGTGCTCCTCCTGGGATTGGATTTAGTCACCATCAAATCTAAATTAGGTTTAGTCACAAACTTTAAAAAGATGAACAGAATTAGGAAAGTGGTTAAAGTTCTCAGAAACATAAGTTACAATTGTTGATATATTTAAACAGGCTATAGGAAATTTAATTCCATTTTAAACTACTTAGCAGTTTCATTTTGCCACTAATCATGTTTTACATCCAGATATGCATTGAAGGTTTGGTATTTCCCCACTGAGAAGAGCACAGAACCTTCTTTCATCTACTGTTCACATCTCACAAACTCCCAAAGATCTAGTGTGGTCACATTACAGCCCTTCTCATCAAACCAACTTTTTTTTTTTTTTTTTTGAGAAAGAGCCTTACTATGTAGCCCTGACTGGCATAGAACTAGCTGTGTATTCCAGGCTGGTTTCAAATTCTGAGACCTACCTAATTCTGCCTCCCTAGGTTTGGGAATAAAGGCAGGCACCTAATACAACCTTTGGCAGCTCTCTCCAGCCTTCTCCAGAGAAGGTAAGGCTGCTTCACTGAGTTCCTATCCCTTAGTCTCGTGTGCAGATGATGGTTATTTCACCTTTGTTGCAAAGGTAAGGGAAAGAACACAGTCAAAGTGGAGTAAAAAGCACTCGAGTCTAGAGCCAGGTGCCACCATTTGTTCTCACCAGTGTTTAAGTGACACTAGAAAACTGTCACACTTGAAAAATTTCAGCTGGAATCTTCTCCAAGGCTGAGAATAGGCACAGTTTTCCCAGGAACAGGCAGAGGGTTTTACTCACATCCCCTGCAGGCACAAAAGAGGATTGCTTTTTATTCTGGAGTGGAAGCTGCCATACTCCATTTCTGTGTTGGCTGGCCCAGAAATATATAGGTGAGGTCAGTCAGCTCCAGAAATGGCCAAGCAGAGTGATAGATTAGTGAGCGTTACATAGTAGCTAGCTGTCAAGCCTGGGTACCAAAGACATTTTAAAATTGCTATGCAGCAAGCCGAGACTTCTCAACTGAGAATGAGAACTCTGACTACTTACTAAATTACTGTCCAGTGTTCCAGAGGGTGCCTGCTGCCAGTGTGTTGAATGGCAGCAAAATTGAGTGAATATGAGTAAGGAACATAACTTGGAGGGCAGGGGAAACAACACTGACAACTCCCAGTCTCCACTGTCTCCTGATGGAGCATGAAGGCAAACCCAGAAGAGAAGCAAAACCCTCTGCTGTGTTATGTTCTGCCAAAACAAAACAAAACAAAACAAAACAAAACAAAACAAAACAAAACAAACTGTGATTGATGGTTCTGGAAATATAATTTGACATATATGTCTTTAAAAATTCTGTATCCAAAAGGTGCTTGGTGCTGTTCTTGATGGGTCCACTGTCTGTTTACACTCCAAATCATTTAAATATAGCCATTACATAGTTGATAAATGTTTTAAAATAAATGGTTATCTATTAACTGCCTTTCAAATTAGAAATTATAATTACAGGAGTCCCAGAGGCTGGCTCTGTGTGTTTTATTATTTTTGTTGGTCTCCATCACAGATGGAATTTTTCACTGGTAATTCCTCAGAACTAAATCCATTTATATAGGGAATTCAGAGCAGTGAAAATAAATTTCACGCCATAGAGTAGGAAACAGTAACAATAAAAAGGAGCCAAGGGATCTTGAAAGCAGGCCAGCCCAGCTCAGTTCTCCACTGGTGTTGGGTTTTGTGCAGGCTGGCTTACTATAACCTGCACCACATAGTCTTTGGGGATCTTCAGCTCCTCCAGCTTCATCTTATCGGTGAGAGGCCTGCCAGAGAAGAACCACCGCTGGCTGCCCGGCTCTACGCCCTCTGTGGCGTGTAAGCGCCTCTTCATGTGGAACACCGTGTCTGTGCTGCGCACCACAAGCTTGAGGTCTTTGCCAGTGGAGAGGCGCAGGCGGAGCTGAGATTCGTGTCCAGAATTGGGAGGTGGCTCAGGGATATCCAGAGTCTCTATGTCACTCTTCTCCTCTATCATGTTGATTGGCGGTGCCAAGCAGTAGACTGGCAGCTGGTACCGGTTCCCCAGCTCATCGTAACACTCTGTTAGTGCACCTGCAGAGAAAGGGGGGATAAGACAGTTTCAATGAGAGTGCTTCTGGTCACGGTGCTGTCAGCCTCAAACCCAACAGCACTCCCATCTTAACTTCTGACAGTAGGTAAGTGAAGAGAAAGCTCTTAAGAGCTCAGTCAGAGGTGGGGGTCTTGTGAGTTTATCACACACTACAAACATCAGAACAAAACCCCTTATGCTTCTAGCAGCAGGAGCAAAAGAAACCACTCGAGGGACTGCGCATCTATAGCTACACATGCATCGACAGTAAAAGTGACACAGTACTATGAACACCCCTATACCTTCAAGTGTGATCCACTAGATGAAACAGGCCATTCTGACTTTCTCTGAAAAGACATTATCTGATGAAACTTACAAAAAGAGAGATAATCTGAATAGACCCTATCTACAGAAGGTGGATCAATAACCAGTAACTTTAAAACAGAAAGCACCAAGTCCAGATGGCTTCAACAGTGAATTCTGCTGAACATTAAAGTAAGAAATTATAACAACCTTCTATTTTTTACAATACAGAAGAGAAACTTCCTAATGTATTCTATGAGACAAGCATTACCTTAATGCTAAAGGAACAACACAAAATAAAACACCTCTACAGACTACTATCTCATAAACAGACTAAAAAATCCTCAACAAAATATTAGACAAATCAACTACAACACTATAGAAAAAGGATTACATACCATTCCAAGGCAGAGTTTGTTCTAAGTATTAAAGACTAGTTAAAAATGGGCTGGGTGGTGGTGGTGGTGACGGCACACACCTTTAATCCAAGCACTTGGGAGGCAGAGCCAGGAGGATCTATGGAAAGGAAAGAATAGAAGTGTCTTGTCGCTAATACAACTGTCTATGTCACTGGTTCTCAACCTTCCTAATGCTGTAACCCTTTAATATAGTTCCTCATGTTGTAGTGATCCCCGACCGTAAAATTATTTTTGTTGATACTTAACTAAATGTGCTACTGTTATGAATCATGATGCATCTGCTCGTGCAAGATATCTGATTTTTTTTTTTTTGTCCCTTGTGAAAGGGTCATTTGACCCCCAAAAGAGTTGGGACCCACAGGTTGAGAACCTCTGATTTTACGAAAAATCAACAAAATGATCACAGATCCAATGAGCATGCACATTAAGGTTAATGGATAAAACCAACTGCTCCATATGCAACAACAAATGGATAGTATCTGAAATCACAAAACCATGTATATTAGCACATACAAAGTGGGGCATAGAGATATAAACCTTAACAAATGTGTAAGACTTACAAGAAAATGACAAAATGTTAAACCAAAGAACTATGCATTGAGAAGATGATTCTGTTGGGATGTCAGTCAGTTCTTATTTAATCTATAATTTTAATGCCACTCTTAATCAAAATCCAAGGAGTGTTTTTTTTTGGCAGATCCTGGACAAACTTCTCTAAAATGTAAATAAGGTGAAAAAAAATTAACTTACAAAGACTAGTTTATGGTAAATTTATAGTAACCAAGATAGTGTGGAGCTGGGCATGGTTGCTCATACTGAAATCCCAACACTCAGAAGTATGAAGCAAGAAGACTGCCATCTTTGAGGTTAGTATATACACATAGTCTAGGTTATCTTAAAAAAAAAGAAAAAAAGAAAAAAAAACAACAAAAAAAACACCTTAAAAAAAAAAAACCCCAATACTCAAACACAAACATGATCAATGAAAACAGCTGAAAGTCCAGAAATAAGACTCACACAAATACCACCAACTGATCTGTGTTAAAGAAACAATGGGGTGGGACTCAGTGATGTCTGCCTCGGCACTCAGGGAGGCAGAGGCAGGAGGACTCAGTGGGTTCAAGGCCAGTCTAGTCTACAAACTGAGTCCAGGACAGCCAAAGCTTCACAGAGAAACCCTGTTTCAAAACAAACAAGAAAACAGAAAAGGAGAACAGAAAAGACAGGTTTTCCAAACAAAAGGTGTTGGGTTAACAAACCATCAAAAAATTAACTCTCAAAACTCAGAAAACAACTCTGTGAAGTACGCTGAAGACTAGGCACAGTAAAGATACACACTGTAGTCCCCATGCTGATAATTGAGCTTGAGGCCAGCCTAGGCATACAGTGAAACCTTGTTTCAAAACAACAAATACAAACAGAAATGTTCAGAAAACCAATAGCTCAAATACCTTAATAAGACTCTTCACAAAGAAAATGAGCAGGTAGAAGATAAGCAGATGAAAAGATGTGTGATAGCACACCACTAATTAAACTAACCCGTGTACAACGGGCAAAGTATTAGAGTTCTGACAATACCAAGGCTGGAGAGACTGGAGCAATAAGGAGTTTCCTTCACAGCTACTTTAGAAGACAGTTTGACCCCTCCCCCTCCTCTTCCTCTCTTTCCTTCCTTCCTTCCTCTCTTTCCTTCCTTCCTTCCTCTCCTTCCTTCCTTCCTTCCTTCCTTCCTTCCTTCCTTCCTTCCTTCCTTCCTTCCT